AGCTTGCTAGCTTTTAAGATCCCAGTCGCTACTCGCCAAAGTAGTAGGTGGAACAATGTTTTGTATAGTATGTTATGCCAATTGAGCTTGTTGTCCCCTGTGACTATGGTCCCAAGCCCACAGGATCAACTACTCGGTCCCTCTGGGTAGCTCCTTTGCCCATTTTTTGATTTGTTGTCTTTTAGTTGTTAAGTGGTAGGAGTTTTATATATATTTTGAACACTAGATCCTAATTATCTGATACATGGTTCCTGAAAGTTTTCTCCCAATCTCACGTTTGGCTTTTCACTTTGTTTATAAAGTCCTTTGATATACAAAAATACATAATTTTTATGAAGTCCAATTTGTTTTTCACCTTTCTTACTGGAAATGGAGAAAACCTGGTCATAATACTATGCCTGATCCTTTTATACATTGCTTCCAGATGAATAATTCTACGTTTTTCCATTTTTCTTACATGCATTATTTTCCATTCCTTTAGTTATCTTTGATCCACCTTTGAACTCTTATCATGTGATGGCTTAAAAGAAAAAAAATCCTAAATCTGAAGATTTTTAAAATTTTGTTTTAGGATTTTTTGTCTGTTGTGGTATCTGAGACTGCACAACTTATTGCCTTATGGATGTCTGTTGGTTTTGCTCATGGTAAGTTACCTATTGATACTTCATTATGATGATAAAATAGAATTAATTTGTTATAGGAGAGGACTTCCTTTTGTGTATTTAAAAATATCCCTGCTCATGAGCTTCTTCATATTTTTAATATAAAAATTTGTTCTTAGCAACAGGGAAATATTTTTCTCATCTTTAAAATAGTTTTAAATGAACAGTATACACAAATAGAGTATCTTCATTTTGATGTTACCTGTAAAGCTCTTTAAGATTATATGTGTAAGTACATATTGTGTTTAGATCTCCTTAAAACTATTTTTTAAATTTTAGTTATAAAAGTGCTACATGTTTATGCTAAAAAATTTAAAATACAGAGTGAAGGGGCATTCCACTCCCTAAGATAATCACCATTAACCATTTCTCTCAATTCTTCTAAACTTCTTTCTGTTATGCATTTTGCATCCTGCGAAAAAAACAAAACTGCTTTGTGTGTTTGAAGCCAGACACTGCATGGGGTTGCATTAAAAGGAACTAAGAATAACTTAAAAACAAAGTCAGATATATACTAAATTCTCTAGGTAAATACCAAATGGAAAACTTCTGGAAATCTGCTTAAATTATCAAACATATACTCTCTTTTTCTCACTTGAGATGGGGGTAGGATGCAGAGTTGGTGTTTCTGAGTTTTTCTGTTATTAACAGTGCTTCAGGGACTACCCATATAACTGTATCTTTGCACTCTTGAAGGTGAGTTTTTGAGGATAAATCTCTCGAAGTGGAATGGCAGAGTTAGAGAATCTATACATATGACATTTTGATAAACAGGGCCATCTTGCCTCTCAAAAAGGTTGAAATAGTAAACACATCAGGGACATCATACACAAAGAAAGCAAACAGTCATTAAAAGACAAGAAAGGGAGAAAGTTGTAAGAATGCTGTTATGTATGGGGATTACAGTAAATGTCACAAAACAGAATGTATATGGATTGTTGAATGGAAAACCATTTTTTTTTATAAACTTTCACCCAAATCACAGTACAAAAAACACATTAAAAAAAGGATAAAAAAGACAAAAAGAAAAAAAAATCCAAGAAAGGAAGAAAAGACTAAAATGGACATCAGAAGAGACTCTGAAACTTGCTCTTGAACATAGAATAGCTAAAAGAAATGGAAGAAATGATGAAGGAAAAGAACTGAACAGAAGAATTCAAAGGGAAGCTTGAGAAGACCTGGAGTTAGAAAATCAATAGGGAAGAACATGCTTGTCATTTCTCAAGCTGGAGGAACTAAAGAAAAAATTCAGTTGCAATATTGAAGTATTCGATGAGCAAAGTATTGAATGATGCAGGAAATATTGAAAGAAGATGGAAAGAATAAAGAGTCACTGTACCAAAAATAATTGGTAAGTGTTCAACCATGTCAGTAATAGTGTATGATCAAGAACTGATGGTATTGAAGGAAGAAGTTGAAGCTTCGCTGAAGGAACTGGCAAAAAACAAGGCTCCAGGAATTGATGGAATACCCATTGAAATGTTTCAACAAACAGATGCAGTGCTGGAGGTGCTCACTCATTTATGTCACGAATTTGGAAAACGGCTACCTGGCCAACTGACTGGAAGAGATCCATATTTTGTGCCCATTTCAAAGGAAAGTGATCCCACAGAATGTGAAGTTACTCAACAATATCATTAATATCACATGCAAATAAATTTTATTGAAGCTAATTAAAACATGACTACAGCAGTACATACATAGAGAACTTCCAGAAATTCAAGCTGGATTCAGAAGAGGGTATGGAACAAGGAACATTATTGCTGATGTCAGATGAATCTTGGCTGAAAGCAAAGAATACCAGAAAGATGTTTACCTGTGTTTTATTGACTATGCAAAGGCACTCAACTGTGTGGATCGTAACAAATTATGGATAACATTGTGAAGAATGGGAATTCAAGAACACTTAACTGTGTCCATGAGGAACCTGTGCATAGACCAAGAGGCAGTAATTCAGACAGAATGAGTGATTACTTCATGGTTTAAAATCAGGAAAGGTGTGTGTCAGGGTTGTATTCTTTTATCATACTTATTCAATCTTTATGCTGAGCAAATAATCCAGGAAGCTGGACTATATGAAGAAGAATGGGGCATCAGGATTGGAGGAAGACTAACAACCTGCTGTATGCAGGTGATACAACCTTGCTTGCTGAAAGTGAAGAGGATTTGAAGCACTTACTGATAAGATCAAAGACTACAACCTTCGGTGTATATTAAACCTCAAACTGAAGAAAGCAAAAATCCTCACAACTGGACCAATAAGCAACATCATGATAAATAGAGAAAAGATTGAAGTTGTCTAGGATTTCATTTTATTTGAATCCACAATCAATGCCCATGGAAAGCAGCAATCAGGAAATCAAAGGATATGTTGCATTGGTCAAATCTACTCCAAAGTTTACTTTAAAGTGTTAAAGAACAAAGATGTCACTTTGAAGAATAAGTTGTATCTGACCAAGCTATGGTATTTTCAGTCACCTCATATTTTGGGCAATCTACTTCCATAGTGGTAGCACCTTGGAAACCCAAGGAGGGTTTGCTATGAGTTGGATCCGACTCGACGGCAGTGTTTGGTTTTGGTTTGTTCATATGCGTGTGATACCTGGACAGTGAATAAGGAAGACTATAGAAGAATTGATGAATTTTAATTGTGGTGTCAGTGAAGAATACTAAATATAACCATGAATTGCCAGAAGAATGAACAAATCTGTCTTGGCCCAAGTATAGCTGGAATGCTGCTTAGAAGCAAGAATGACCAGACTTCGTCTCTCATATTTTGGTCATGTTGTCAGAAGGGATCAGTCTCTGGAGAAGGATAGATATCATGCTGGGTAAAGTAGAGGGTCAGTGAAAAAGGGGAGAACCCTCAATATGATGGATTGACACAGTGTCTGCGATGATGGACTCAAGCATGGCAACAATTTTGAGATGGTGCAGGACTGGGCAGTGTTTCATTCTGTTGTATATAGAGTCACTGTGAGTCAGAACTGACTTGATGACACCTAACAACACTGCTACCTTGCCAAGATATCCCGTACTAGGCTAGTATGTCCTCCCACCTCACCCTCTGCCTCTATCTGGGAGTCTCTTACCTATGACAGTTATAGGAATATATACCCATATTTTTACCTTTTCTCCTTTTCACAGTTTTTGAAAATTAATGAATTTTGTTCATTTTCTAGCCTCAATTCCATTCCAAATAATTATATATATATCCCATATACATGTATATATTATTAATAATATAACTCAGTGTCATTGGGTCGGTCCTGACTCATAGTGACCTCTCTTTGGGTTTCCAAGGTGATGTCTCTACAGAAGTAGATTGTTCAGTCTTCTTCTGAGGAAATTCTGGATCTTGAGGCTAAAGAAAAGAAGAAATTCCATTTCTTGAGGGTTTATTCTCCTGTAGTATTTGAAATCTCTGGGGGAAGGCAGTTATAAAACAAAAGGCTAAGTTTAATTTTAAAATAGAGTTTTAACATATATCAAGCTATTTGATTTCACCAATTAAACTTTCAGTTGATAATCTAATATTGTCTTATCTCTGAAATGAATGCATCTCTGTAACTTATTCTGAATGATTTCATAACATTAAAAGAAAAATATGTTACTATTTGATTTTCATGTTTTTTTTTTTTTTTAATGTATTGTTTTAGGTGTTTGTAATACTGATAACTTTAGTTTGTTATCCATTACAATTGACTATGGTCCATTTGGTTTTATGGAGGCCTATAATCCAGGTATGTATGATTTTTTTGTATATGTGTGAGTATGTGTTTGTATACTGTATATAAAACAGTTATAGATAATGCACGATAGGGTAGTAGAAAAAGTTGGGTTTATTCATAAAACAGACATTTTTTTTCTTTCTCTAATTTTTTATTTTATTGTGATTTGGGTGAAAATTTACAGAGCAAATTCACTTTCCATACAGCAGTTCACATACACTTTGTCTGATGACATTGACCACAATTTACCACAATGCAACAGCTCCCCTCCCACTTCCTCCCGATAGTTACCTCTTCCCCGTGTCCATCCCTCCATGCACCCCTGCCCCCTGAGCTATCTGCCTGTGCATAAGCAGTTCTTCTTTCTCCCATGATTATTCTCTCCAAGGAGTGTATCTACCTCAGGTAAATGTTAAGCTCATATGCCTGTCTTTTGTTTGGCTGGAAGCCCCAGGTGTAGGTTCAGTTCCAGACCTGAAGGGCAGCTAGGGGCTGCCCTGATTGAATGAGATTAAAAGTGTGGCCTATGTTCATGGAATAGAGCAGTTAACTGGTCCACAGTTAGAGATCTTCTCCCTTACTGCCAAGATCTAAATTATCTATGGCACTTCATTACAAAAGATAAGAGATAGATGGATAGGTAAATAGACAAATCGATACATAGATAGATCATGTGTGTATATGTTGACATGGAAGGGAAACTTAGCATTTAGTAAACTTTAGCCAATGTAGTTAGCTATTGTCTTTCTCGTTTGAGAAAGTTTCATAATGCTTTCCTTCTCATCCTGACCTTCCACAAGGATCTGCAGGGACATAAAATTTCCATTCAGAGATAGTTTATTGCTCTAATATTCCCCTTGCCCGTTCTTTTATTCACTTATTCAGGGAATGGGAGACTATACCTATAGTATAGTTGTGGGTCTTTTAGGGTTTTTTTTTTTTTTTTTTGGTATTACCAAATTATGTCATCAGCTTAGTCATTTTATAATTATGATTAAAGCCAAAGTTATTGCTATTTTTAATTCTAATTGCCACCAATATTTCACTTGCTTTGCCCCTCATTTTTTTGTGTTAGGCTATAGGATTCCCAGTGGATATTGTATTATTTTTTTCTTAACAGTAAAATAATATATTTAAATTACTCAAAAATATTTGCAAATAACACTTTTTCCTCTGGCTTTTTGGTCTCTGAAGAAGGGAAATAGCAATTAGGATAATGTGGGCACTCTTGAAAGTTACAAATATATTCCTCTATTAGACAAATAAAACAAACAAACAAACGCACTGCTGTCGAGTCGGATCTGACTCATAGTGACCTCTCCTTGAGTTTCTGAGGTGGTATTACTACAGAAGTAGATTGCTCAACCTTCCTTCCAAGGAGTGGCTGGTAGATTTGAACCTCCAGCTTTCTGGTTAACAGTCAAATGCCTTAGGCACCACCCCACCAGAGCTCTAAAAGTTTTAGTGTATATAGATATTAGTATTTGAACTACTTTGTTTATTACTATTATTTTATTGTGTTTTAGGTGCAAATTTACAGAGCAGAGTTTGTTTTACATTCAATATTTCGTGTACATTTGGTTTCACTCCCCAATTACCATCCCCAACCCTAACCTACTCTCCTTCCCTCCCTTCCCAGTCCCCCCTCCCCCTGTGCCCCTCATAGTAGTGCACACCTGTGTGTCCTGCATTTCCTCCATGCGAATGTTGCCGCTCTGGTGCCCTGTGATCGATTGCTCCAAGGGATGCATCTCCATAGAGTATGTGGGTGCATAACCCTGGGTTGAGTGGTCTGCATGTATGTCTTGTTTACTACTGGGCTGAGAGCCAGCCCCTGGGAGTGAGTTTTATCCCAGGCCTAAAGTGTATCCCAGGGCCATAGTATTGGGGGTCCCACCAGACTCTATCCGACCAGTAATTCTGGTGATTATTGTGTTTTTGGATTTTGTTCCACGTTTTTCCTCCCACTCTATCCAGGATCTCCAGTTTTGATCCTTTCCTGAGTAGTTAGCATTGGTAGCCAGGCACCATCTAGTTCTTCTGGTCTAGAGGTCCATCATGTCCTAGGGCTGATTGCTTCCAAATGCCGTTGGTTTTTTGCATTCTTCTTCACTTCCGATGATAGGAGACCAATAGCTGCATCTTAGATGGCTGCTTGAAACTTTTAAGATGTTAGTCGCTACTCATCAATGTAGGTTGTGAAACAAGATTTTTATGTATTTTGTTGTGCCAGTTGAGTCTGGTGTCTCCCAATATCATGGTCCTGAGTCGATAGATCTGTTGGCTCTCTCTCCCACAGTGTCTAGCTGTCTGTGAAGGATTGCTCTATGTTTGTCTTTTGTTGTTTCTATAAGGATTGTGGGTATTTTGTATCACTGGTGCAAGATTAGCCTTAGCTGAATCTATCCTTGGTCTAGAGTATAATCCTGTTCACTGACCCCCATCTGATCTTCTCAGATGTTTATGTGTTTATCTGTAGCTTGATGTTGGTGTTAATGGTAATGCAGTATTGTGGATATACTGGTATTAGCCTCTGTTGTCTATATCTTATGTGCACAATTTGGTGTCTTCCCTTTCCACAATGTTATCATGGTGGTCACAAACTCTTTTGATACCATCCCTCCCCTTGCCTACCTCACCGTGTGGCCCCCAACTAGCCCAAAGTTATTCTTTCCTCTTCCCTCCCCAGTATTTGCACTACTTTGGAGTTAGATATTTAATGTCAGGGAGATTTTTATCTAATAAATGTAAACTTACTAAGTGTAAACTTAAAAGTAAAGAAAGCAGCTATTCATTATAATGATCTCCACTGTAAAACTATAGTATTTTGTTTTAAACAGATTTTGTACCAAACACATCTGATGATGAAAAAAGATATAAAATAGGAAATCAAGTCAATGTTGGGATGTTTAATTTACACAAGTTGTTGCAAGCTCTAAGCCCATTACTGAATCCTAGGCAAAAGCAGTTGTAAGTAAATTTAAAATCTATTAAGAGTCTATATGAAAATGTATTTTATAACTATTATTTTTTGAAAAGCATTGCTATATCTTACTTTAAAAAAAAAAATAAAGAAGGCATTTTAAGCTATGTACTTTTTTGCTAGTAAAATTTTGGCTTTTTTTTCCTGAGGTTTTGGTTAAAGTGTTTTCCTATTTATACTTTTTAGATACTGTGAAATTTTGGTTTCTTTCTTCTTTGACCGAAGGGTTATTTATCTTTCATACCCAAATAGTTCATTATTTGTCCATATTTCTATGATCAAAGAATGTGTTCGGTAAAATCTCTTACTATTCAAAATGCATTAATGTTTCTTTGTCATCCAACAAAATAAAGTTTTGGGTATTTTTCATGGTCATACAAAAAAATGTATATTTTCTAATCAAAGATTGTAACATACATCAAATTGAGTGTATTTTATTATTCAAGAGCTCTATAACTCCATTTTTTAATGTACTTGATAAGTTTGATTCTTAAGAGTTGTATATTAAAATCTCTAATTTCTTTTTTAGATGACTTTTTATTTTAGAATAGTTTTAGAGTTAAAAGAAGTTATAAAATAGTGCAGAGTCCCCATATGCCTCACACCTAGTTTCCTCTACTATTAAACGTCTTACATTATTATGGTATGGTTGTCATTTTTTTTTTAGTTTTTAAAAATTTTTGCTGTGTTTTCTCCCTCCCCTCCCACCCCGGTAACCAACAAAGAAAGTTTCCTTCCAAATAAAAACCTTTCCTTGACTTTTTACAATAATGAACTAATACAATATTTGTCCTTCTGTGATTGACTTATTTCACTCAGCATAATATCCTCCAAGTTCATCCATGTTATGCGGTGTTGCACAGATTCTACATTATTCTTTAGGGTTGCATAGTATTCCATTGTGTGTATGTTCCATAGTTTGCTTATCCATTCTTCTGTTGATAGACACCTAAGTTGTTTCCTCTTTTTGCTATTATAAATAGTGCTGCAGTGAACAAGGGTGTGCATATGTATCTTTTCTTATCCTGGCTCACGCTTCTTTAGGATGTATACCTAATAATGGGATTGTTGGAGCAAATGGTGTTTCTAATTCCAACTAAAATCTCTAATTTTAATAGTTTTTTTTTCAAGTTATTTTTGCTAATTGTTTCAAAGTTGCATGTTTTGCTGCTGAATTTTTGGGACATACAGGGTTTTTTTTTTTTTGTTGTTTGTTTTTTACTTACATCTTCTTCAAAACTTGTGCCTTTTGTCCTAACATGATAGCCTCCTTTTTCCCGTTTAGTACTTTAACATTCACTTTCAACTGATCTGATACTGATTGCCATTCAGGCTTTGTTTTTATTGAGTTTGTCTTGAATCCCATTTTATTTTTTTGCCTTTCTTTATCATTTTTTAAAGTGTTTTAAAAACAAAACATATAGCTAGTTTCTAACTCACTGTTAAATGGTTTCATTTATTATAACAATGAGTATGCTTGATTATATTTCTTCTAGCTTGCATTCACTTTATTTTACATTTTTTTTCTTTCACTTTCATTTTTCTGGTTTGAGCTGTTCATTCATTTCCCACTGTTATTTGGAAACTACTGTTTTTTTTTTTTTTTTTAAATTCTGCTTTTCTGCCATTTCCTCTACTATTATATTTTCTCTCACTCAGATTCTGTTTGCCCATTGCTTTTTCTTACACATCAGCAAGATGAGAACTTTAGAATGCCTCTGTGTTTTTACCTGTAATTACTCAACTGCTGGACTTTGGTAAGATAGTTTGAAAAACCAAACTCATGGCCATCGAGTTGGATCCGACTCATAGCACCCCCACCTTGGGTTTCTGAGGTGGTATCACTATGGAAGTAGATTGCCTAGTCTTCCTTCTGAGGAGTGGCCGGTGTGTTTGAACCATCAGGCTTCTGGTTAGCAGTCAAATGCATTAGGCATTACGCCACCAGAGCTCCCAAGAAGTTTAATATTTTGAATTTTAGATTGTTAGGTTCCCTTAAAGTATATCTCATCTATTTTGAGAATCTTTGCTTTTAGCACTTACCTCCCCAACCCCACACACATATATGTTTCAAGTCATTTCACTGCTTTTGACCATTTTCTTTTCATAGTTCCCTATCTTGAAGTCTCTGACTTTATTACTTCCTTATATATTTCACTCAGAAGGGGAATATAGATGATACATTGTCTAAATCTTTGCATAACCATTAGTATTTTATTTTAATCTGTCAGATGAATGGTATCTAGTGTATTAGCTGCATATGACAGAAACCCAAAATATAGTAGCTTGAAGAAAATGTATTTTTCTGTCCCATAAAATTGTGGTGGATGATAATTCAGAGCTGGTATGGAGGCTTATTATTTAGTGGGGTCCCACACTACTGGTTTTCCATTCCACTATCCATAGTATGTGGTCCTCATGGTCTGAGATGGGGCTTCATCTATCACATCCCTATTATATGTAGCAGTATGGGGAAAGAAAAAAAGAGGCTAGTCCCCTGTATTGAAGGACATGTTTCAGAATTTATATGCATCACTGCTCTCATTTCACATTACTCAAACCATTGCCATCAGGTAGATTCAAATTCATAGTGACCCTATAGATCTGAGTAGAACTGCCCTGTAGGGTTCCTAAGGCTCTAAATCTTCATGGATGCAGACTTCCTCATCTTTCTCCCAATGAAGTGGCTTGTGGATTTGAACTGCTAGCCTTTTGGTTAACAGCTGAGCACTTCACTACCCCGCCCCAGGACTCCTTCCTTTCACATGAGCCAGTTCATAATCATATGACCATCTCTAGTGTAGTGGCCTTATACAGTATCAACTTAGCTAAGTGGAACTATGTTTCTAAGACTACCTTTCCGTGCACAGTTAATTACTGATTAGATTGGCTACAAGAGAAATTTGTGAGATCTAGAAGGCAGAAGTAAAGCAACAGTTTGGGTACTACACCAGAAGGCTGGTATAGGGTGTCAAGCACTGATGCAGCTCACACATGTTATCATTAACCTGCTGGCTCATCTTGTCATCTGGAAGCAATCAGGAGTGTAGTTCCTTCAGCTGCCTCTGGTTGTCTTCTCCAGCTTCTCTGATAATCTTCTCCAGCTTCTCTGAAAATAAGCTGGTCCCTTTGCTGCCAAGCACAACCAGCTTGGTAGCAAAGGGACCAGCTTATCTTAAAGGTTACCTGCATCACTGAGCTTGGAAACCTGAGAAATAAACATGGATTTAGTTTGTCTTTGTGGGGTCCAGTTTGTCCTTGCTCTCTCTCACTTCATGTCCTACTTTGTCTTATGACTGTCTTCTCTGCTGACTTTGGACCCAACACCAGATGCAAAGCAACATTACATATATTTAATCCCTAACCAGCTCTAACAGTTATGTGGGTTCAAATTCCTAAAATAAATCTATTTTCTACCCCACTCATAGTACTTCTATTTCTCTGATTGAACTCTAACTGATGCATGCAATCAGGGACATTTTCTGCTCTTACTTAATTAAGTGTTGCATTTCCCCCCATCAGTTTCTTTCTGTGCTCTGCTTTTCCCCCATTATTTGCATTTAACCCTCAATCTGTTACCCACTTGGTACTTCTACTTGATATTCTAGGCCTCTAAATTTGAGTCTCAAGAGTAATCTTCTCTTTCAATTCATCTACTGAATTTCCACCCATTAAAGAGTGGATAAGTCTTTCTGATTTAGGCACAAAATATTATGAAACCTATTTACTTTAAACTTAAGCCATATTCTTCAGACTAGCTTTTATCTGTAATAAAGCTGAATGAAATGTTTATATTCTTCTGTCTATTGTGTGATCTCTGATATATTCTGAACTTTGTTGTTGTTGTTATTATTTGCCATCGAGTCGGTCCCGACTCATAGCGACCCCTCCTTGGGTTTCCAAGGCAGTATCACTACGGAAGTAGGATTGCCCAACATTCTGAACTTAAGTTGAGGAAAAAAGTGTTTTTTTTTATTTTTCATTTTTTTTCTGTTTAAACAATAGAGTTAATAACAGACAACTTTGTAATGTTTATATTTGTTGTTGTTGTTAGGTGCTGTTGATGATGTTGCTTAGTGGGCCATTTGTGAGAATTTTTGTTTTCTTTATGTTGAGGTGTAATCAACACTGAAGGCTGTAGTCTTTGATCTACATCAATAAGTGTTTCAAGTCTTCTTCATTTTCAACAGGCAAGGTTGTGTCATCTGCATATTGCAGATTCTTAATGAGTCTTCCTCCAATCCTGATGCTACATTCTTCATACAGTCTAGCTTCTTGGATTATTTGCTCACCCTACAAATTGACTAAGTATAGTGAAAAGTTACAACCCTAATGCACATCTTTCCTGAGTTTAAACCACATGGTATCCTCTTGTTCTGTTTGAACGACTGCCTCTTAGTATGTGTATAGGTTCCTTGTGAGCACAATTAAGTGTTCTAGAATTTCCATTCTTCACAATGTTATTCATAATTTGTTATGATCCCCAAATTGGTTCTTTTTTTTCCTTCTTCTAATTTTTCCTGTGATCTGGGTGAAAATTTATAGGCCAAATGCCTTTTCCATTCAGCAATTCATATACATTTTGTGTCATGACATTGGCTGCAATTCCCCACAATGTAACAGCTCTCTTCCTACTTCCTCCCTGTAGTTACATCTTCCCTGTGTCCTTCTTTCCTATGCATTCCTGCCCTCTGAGCTATCTTCCTGTGAAAATACTGCCATTGTGTTTTTCCATGATTGATCATTCTAAGGAGTGTATCTACCTGATGTTAATGTTTACCTTATGTGCCTATTATTTGGCTGCCAGCCATGGGAGTGAGCTCAATTCCAGACATGAAGGATACCTAGGAACCATAGTCTTGGGGGTCTTACCAGGCTCTGTCAGACTAGTAAACCTGGTCTTTGTTATGATTTTGAGTTCCACATTGCTCTCCCACTCTATGCAGGATCTCCTGTACTGATCCCTTTCTGAGTGGTTGACAGCGGTAGCCAGGCACCAACTAGTTCTTCTGGTCTCTTGGTCCTGTAGAGTGAAGTTCTCATGGTCCACTAGTCCTGTGGACTAATTGTTTCCATGCATCTTTGGTTTTCTTCATTCTTCTTTGCTGTGGACAAGGAGAAACTCACTATTGCATCTAGATGGCTGCTTACAAGTTTTTTTCTTTTGAACTGCTCTTGCCACTGGCCTTAAACTGTCTTATGTTGCACCTGATGATGTTTTTATCAACATATATTTTTATACTGGAATTCCTTGAGTTATGAATGGGATCAGTTCCTAAGTGTGTCTTTCAAGTCAAATTTGTAGGAAGTTGGAACAAGTGCATACAGTTCTTATTTAGCCTTATTTTCTTTCTTTCTTTTTTTTTTAATTGTGATTTGGGTGAAAATTTACAGAGCAAATACAATTTCCATACAGCAGTTCACATACACTTTGTCTCATGACATTGACCACAATTTACCACAATGCAACATCTCTCCTACTTCCCCCTGATTGTTACCTCTTCCCCGTGTCCATCCCTCCATGCACTCCTGCCCCCTGAGCTATCTCCCTGTGCATAAGCAGCCCTTCTTTCTTCCATGCTTGTTCTCTCCAAGGAGTGTATCTACCTTAGGTAAATGTTCAACTCATATGCCTGTCTATTGTTTGGCTGGAAGCCACAGGCATGGGTTCAATTCCAGACCTGAAGGGCAGCTAGGGGCCACAGTCTCAGTGGGTCCACCACACTCTATCAGACCAGCAAACCTGGTCCCCCCCCCATTTTTTTTTCCAAATGATTTTGAGTTTTGTTCCACATTGTTCTTCCTCTCTATCCAGGATCTCCTACACAGATCCTCTTCCAAGTGGTTGACGGTAGTAGCCGGGCACCATCTAGTTCTTCTGGTCTCATAGTCATATAGGCTGCAGATTGGATGGTGTACCAGTTGCTAGGACTAATTGTTTCCATGAATTTTGGTTTTCTTCATTCTTCTTTGCTCTGGACGAGGAGAGACCCATCGTTGCATCTAGATGGCAGCTTGCAAGCTTTTAAGAGCCCAGTCGCTACTCACCAAAGTAGAATCCACACATTGGTTCTTGATCATATACTACTTCCTGACATGGTTGAACATTGACCAATTCTTTTTGGTACAGTGAGTCTGTATATTCCTTCCATCTTCTTTTGATACTTCCTGCATCATTTAGTATTTTGCCCATAGAATCCTTCAGTATTGTAACTTGAGGCTTCAATTTTTCTTCAATACTTTCAGCTTGAGAAATGCTGAGTGTGGTCTTCCCCTTTGATTTTCCAACTCCAGGTCTTTGCACATTTCATTATAATACTTTACTTTGTTTTCTTGACCTGCTCTTTGAAATTTTCTGTTCAGCTCTTTTACTTCATGATTTCTTCTATACACTTACACAGTTCTTTAGCCACTCTCCATTCAATAGGAAGTTTCAAAGTCTCTTCTGACATCCATTTTGTTCTTCTCTTCCTTTCTGTCTTTTAAATGAACTTTTGCTTTTTTCATGTATGAGGTCCTTGATGTCATCCCACAGCTCTTGTGGTCTTCAGTTATTGGTGTTCAGTGAGTCAAATCTGTTCATCAAATGGTCCCTAAATTCATCTGGGATATACTCAGAGTTGTATTTTGGCTCTCACGAATTTGTTTTAATCTTCTTCAGCTTCAACTTAAACTTGCATATGAACATTTGATGGTCTATTCCATAATTGGCTCTTTGCCTTGTTGTGACTGATGATATTGAACTTCTCCGTTATATCTTTCCACAGATGTAGTTGATTTGGATTCCTGTGTATTCCATACATCTGGCAAGATCCACATGTATAGTCACCTTTTATGTTGTTGAAAAAAGTATTTGCAACAAATAAGTCATTGGTCTTGCAAAATTCTGTCATGCGATTTCCAGTGTCATTTCTATCACTGATGCCGAATTTTCCAATTACCGGTGATTCTTCTTTGTTTCCAACTTTTGCATTCCATTCACCAGTGATAATCAGCACATCTTGATAGCATGTGCTATCAATTTCAGACTACAGAAGTTGGTAAGAATCTTATATTTCCTCATCTTTGGCTTTGGTGGTTGGTGCATGAATTTGAATAATGGTAGTATTAACTGGCCTTCCTTGTAGGTGTATGGATATTTATCCTAACACTGACAACATTGTTCTTCAGGATAGATCTTGAAACATTGTTTGTGATGATGAATGTCACGCCATTCCTCTTCAATCTGTCATTCTCAGCATAGTAGATCATATGGTTATCTGATTCAAAATGGCCAAAGCTGGTCCATTTCAGCTTATTAATGCCTAGGATATCAATCTTTATGTGTTCCATTTCATTTTGACAACCTCCAATTTTCCTAGATTCATACTTTGTAGATTCCATGTTCCATTAAGCACATTAAGTGGTGCTTGCAGCTGTTTCTTTTCATTTTGAGTTTTGCCACATCAGCAAATGAAAGTCTCAAAAGCTCTACTTTATCCATATCAGTAAGGTCAGCTCTACTCTGATGAGGCAGCTCTTTCTTTTTTTTTCGTATCTTGAGTGCCTTCCTGAGGGGCTCTTCCGGCACTGTATTGGATAGTGTTTCAGGGCTATTCATAAAGTTGTCCAGTAATATATCAGACAGTGTTTCACTGCTGTTCATAAGGTTTTCACTTGCCAATTCTTTGAGAAGTGGATGGCCTCTTCCTTCTTCCAAGTCTATGTCAGTATGGAAGCTCTGCTGAAACTTGTTCACCGTGGGCAACCCTGCTGGTGTTTGAAACACTTATGGCACAGCCCCCAGCCTCACAGCAACACACAAGTTACCACAGTACGAGAAACTGACAGACAAGTTCATCTCCCTTAGCTTCCTGCCTGGGGGCTCTCCCTCGTACCTGTTTAAGGATAGGTTTAAGATTAAGAACTCTTTAATTCTTATAGTTTTTAAATGTCTTTTAGGTTTTCATACCTTCAGGCAAAAAAATCTAATTGTATGGTGTAAAGTATTTGTAATGCATTATTTTGAGTTTAAGATAATTTTGAAATTACACCCCTAAACCATTTACATACTAATTAAATTTTTGGTATTATGAAGGCATATCAACATTTATCCTATAAGCTAATTGTGTATAGTGATGTTTCAGAACTGATAGTTTCATCTGCACTATTACTAAATCTTTAAGATAATAGATTTTTACTGACCATTTTCTTCAAGATATGATATATGATTAAATCACTAAGGCAGAGTTGGTAGGTCCCATGTAATCTCCATACTCTTTAATACATGAGAAGGTTCACTTTGTTCTTGTAAAATGTTATTCAAGAATGTTCATTTTAAATCAAGGTTTAACTGTTCCTTTTTCTCCTTCATAGAGCTGCTCAGATTCTTGACCATTTCCCTGTTCTTTATTATATAAGGTTTGTCACTTATTTTTTAAAATTTTTATTGTGATTTAGGTGAAAGTTTACAGAGCAAATTTATTTTCCGTACAGCAGTTCATACACATTTTGTTTCATGACGTTGACTGTAATTTCCAATAATGTAACAGCTATCTTCCCATTTCCTCCCTGTAGTTACCTCTTTCCCTGTGTCCTTCCCTCCCATGTACTTCTGCCCCCTGCCCCCCAGCTGTCTCCCTGTACAAATACTGCCATGTTCTCACATAGTTGATCCCTCCAAGGAGTGTATCAATCTGATGTAAATGTTCACCCCATATACCTGTCTGTTGTTTGGCTGGAAGCCACAGGAGTGACACTTTCAGACTTTAAGCATAATTAGGGGCTATATATAGTCCAGGGGCCTCACCAGGCTCTATCAGACCAGCACAGCTGGTCTTTTTTTTGTTCCACATTTATATAGTGTTCAACATTTCTGAATACAGATATTAAAGCATCCTAGTTATTTTAAGGACAATTCTTAAAACAGTAAGAATTTCAATAACACATTGAATTGACATTTCTCCTTTTAAAAGATTTAGAGAATTGTTTAAAGCCAAATTGGGATTGCTTGGAGAAAGGGAGAGTGATGATGATTTAATTGCATTTCTCTTACATGTGAGTTAACATTTTGTATTTTTTTCTAATTAATATTTGAATTATTACTCAACATATTTTTAAAAATTGACATATATATGTAATTATTTTCATTAGCTCATGGAAAAGACAAGCTGATTTTACAATGACATTTCGGCAGCTCAGTGAGATTACTCAAAGCCAGTTATTGGAGCTCAACATTCCTAAGGTACTAATTTATGACATTTTTTTCTTTAAGTAAGTTTGTTTAATAGCTTTGTTGAGGTATAATTTATATACTGTAAAATTAATTTGTCTTAAAGGTACAATTCAGTGATTTTTACTTATTACAGAGTTCTTCAGTTATGACTAGAATTCAATTTTAGAACCTATCACTCTAAAATGATCCCTTGTGTCCATTTGAAGTCAATCCTTGTTTCCACTCCCAGCCCCAAGCAACTACTAATCTACTTTCTGTCACTGAAGATTTTCCTTTTCCAGATATTTCATACAAATGGAATCATACAATATGTGGTCTTTGGTGTCTGCTGCTACTTTTTTTTTTTTTTGGTGTCTGCTTCTTTACTTAGCATATTTTTGAGGTTCATTCACATTGTATCCTATATCAGTAGTTCTTTATATTAGAGTAGTATTCCACTGTATGGCTATACCACATGCTGCTTACCCATTTACCAGCAGCCTTTAGCTTGTTTCTACTTTTTGGCAATTATGAGTAATGCTGCTATGAATATTCTTTTTTTTTTTTTTAATTTTTAAAATTTTTTTATTGTGATTTGGGTGAAAGTTTATAGAGCAAATTAATTTTCCACACAGTAGTTCATACACATTTTGTTTCATGACATTGACTGCAATTCCCCACAGTGTAACAGCATTCTTTCCACTTCCTCCCTGTAAGTTACCTCTTCCCTGTGTCCTTCTTTCCTATGAACTCCTGCCCCACGAGCTGTCTCCCTGCGTAAACACTGCCCTTCTGTTCTCCCATGATTGATTGCTCCAAGGAGTGTATCTACCTGATGTAACTGTTCACCCCTATATGCCTGTTTGTTGTTTGGCTGTAAGCTACATGAGGGAGTTCAGTTCCAAGGTACCTAGGGATAACTAGGGGCCATAGTCTCAGGGGTCTCACAGGTGCTTTTTTTTTTTTTTGACATATCTTTCTATTACTCTTTGGTAGATATGTAGGAATGGAATTACTGAATTATTTGGTAAACTTAAGTCTAACATTTTTAAAAACTGCCAATCTGTTTTCCAAGTATACTTAATTTAGTTTTAGGAATATATGTCAGCTTTTTATTTCAGTGCTAATACATTAAATTCGTGGAATAATATGGGAATTACCAGAAGACTCTTACTGTGCCACCAGTATTTCAAATTAAAGCTCCAAGATTTGAACTAATTTGCCTAGAGACACACAACTAATAAGTGACCCCCCAGATTTTTCTAATCCAAAGCCCATAGGTATTCTTAACTAAGTGGCTCAACTGCCTATTTCATGGCAGGTACTCTTCTAGACACTTAGAATCTGAAGCTGAATATGACGTGTCCTTGCCTTCAAGGAACTCATAGTCTAGAAGTAAAGTTTGACATGTGTACAAATATGAATAGAGTACTATGAGAAAATTGAGAATCCTGACTAATCCTGCTGGAAAAACACCCACAAAGGAGGTTCTAGTTCCTAGAAAAAGAAGCAGCACCTGCAGTGCATGAAAATATTAACAGAGAATGGAGAATAGTTTGGGTTATATTTTATAGGCAATGACTAATTGTTTGGTGTCATGTCTGGGGAGCAGCATGATCAGAATAGCATTTTAGGAAAGATAAATGTTAACATTTCTTTTGCCGGGAGAGAAACTGGAAGTAGGGAGGATAGCCATGAAGGCAAAGATTTAAAAAAAAAAAAAAGATAAGAATGATTAAGGCACTAGAAATAGAAGAAAAAGTATATAAGATAGAGCCGGTAAGACTTGAAATGAGAATTATAAATCATAATACTTTGTCAGTGTTGGCTTTTCTAGTCTGACTTTAAGGACTTCCATTCCTTCAAATGCTTAAATTCTGTTAAAGAATGAATCTGGCTTGATATTGTTTCTCTTAAAGGTTTTGGTAATTCTGACCTAATCTATCACCATCCTCAAGAGGGAGGTAAGACACCTTGTCACAAATAAAGAGATAAGAACCTATCCTGTAACCTTATGCCATTGAACGAGGTGGAGGAGGTGGAATAGCAGCGTCTGTCTTCTCTAAAGGGCTTGGTGAATGCCTTCTTATTCACTCTTGATTTGGATGATATCAGTCCACTAATGCTTGCTCATAAATGTATTGATATTTTCCATATCAATACATAGAGAAAAATCCTTGTCCTTTTACAACTGCAAAACATTGGATTTTCAGATGTATTTTGTTTAACCAAAAACCAAACCCACTGACATCAAGTCAGTTTTGACTCATAGCTACCCTATAGCTATAGGACAGAATAGAACTGCTCCATAGGCTTTTCAAGGCTGTAAATCCTTTGCAAAACAACCAGTTCTGTACAACTAGACTCTTGGTTGTTTCCAGACTTTTGCTATTACCATGTACATAGGTCATTTCATATAGTACAGGCATATCTGTAGGGAATTTCCTAGGTTACTAGGTTAAAAGATATATATGCAGGAGAGAATAAAGGAAATAAAGACTCAGAAGAGAAACTAATCCATGGCATTAATAGCCTATACAAACCACAGTCTCTTCTAACCTGAGAGAGCAGAACTAGATGGTGCTTGGCTATTACTACTGACCATTCTGACCAGGGGCACAATAGAAGGTCCCCGATAGAATGGAAGAGAAAAGTAGAACAAAAGTCAAATTTCTAGAAAAGGCCACATATACTGGACCAACAGAGACTAGAAGAATCCCTAAGACTATCGCCCAGAGATAACCCTTTGAACATGGCATTGAAGCTATTTCTGCAGGTAACCTTTTAGCCAAATAATAGACTGGCTTATAAAATGAACAGTAGCACCCATGGGCAATATGCTACCTTAAACAATGAACTGTATGAGACTAAACGGTCAACATTTACCTAAAAGCAAAGGTGAGAAGGCAAGGAGAGGAAGGGAAGCTAGATCAGTGGAAACAGAAGAAACAGAATGGAAATAATGAGAATACTGACACAATGTAAAAATTGCAACCAATGTCATGGAACAATTTGTATAAAAATGATTAAAGAGGAACCTAATTTGCCTCATAAACTGTCACCTAAAACATAAAAAATAGATTAAAAAGAAGGATATACATAGTTAGAATTTTGCTAGCTATTGACAGACTATTAGACTTTGACATTTAATTTTTACATTTATTTTTAAGAGGAAAAAGTTTATTAAAAGGTAAAAACAAATCTTCAAGATGAAAATAATTGTAGTCTAAACTAAAGGTTTAAGTTCTCTAACGTTGTTGACCCATTTGCCAATCTCATGCTTAGAATCACACAATTTTACTGGGAAGGAACCTTAACAATTGATTTGGTTCCTAGGACTACTGTAACAAAATATCACAGACTGGTGGCTTATAAACAAGAGTTTATTGTCTCATGGTTCTGGAGGCTAGGTGTTCAAATTCAGGATGTCACAGGGCCATGTTCTCTTAGAAGGCTCTAGAGGCAGAATCTTTCTTATCTCTCTCAGCTTCCAGTAGCCCCAGGTGTTCCATGGCTTGCAGATGCATTTTCACAGTTGCTGTAACCCCTTTCTATCTCTCCATCTCTCTTTTATAAGGAAGCACTTAAATTCGATTAAGAAGCACCCTGTTCCAGTGTGATCTCACTTTAACTTAATTGATAACATCTTCAGAGACCCTGTTACCAAACAAATCACATTCCTAGGTACTAGGCGTTAGGATTTCAACATAAATTTTTTGGGAACACAATTCACTCCCTAACAATGATCGACTCATTGTTAAAAATATGGAGATTGAATCCAAGAGAGACTGAATGACTTCCCTGAATTAACATAGTAGGTCACTGCAAGGCCAGAATTAGAACCCAGATTGCCTGCTGTCCAGTGTTGTTTTCATTGTACAACATTTTGAAATTATTTCTTTGTTAATTCTGTGTTCTTTGATATTTAGGAGCCCTAGTGGTATAGTGAGTGGTTAAAGCTCTTGGCTGCTAACTGAATGGTTAGTGGTTCAAATTCACCAGCCACTACTCTGCAGGAGAAAGATGTGGCAGTCTGCTTCTGTAAAGATTAACAGCCTTGGAAATCCTACAGGCACTTCTATTGTGTCCTGTATGGTCACTATGAGTCAGAATTGATTTGATGGCATTGGTTCTGGTGGCAGTTTTCTTTGATATTTTAAACTCCATTATTTTACTAAAAACAAGCCTTTGTTTTCACACATAGTGAAGTTGAGGCAAGAAAAGATTGATTTTTCACAGTCATCTTAAGAGGAATAAAAGCAGCTGTGGTGGTGTAGTGATTAAGGCATTTCACTGCTAACCAAAAGGTCGATAGTTTGAACCCACCAGCCACTCCATGGAGGAAAGATGGGGCAGACTGCTTCTGTAAAGATTTACAGCCTTGGAAACCCAATGGGGGTCGCTATGAGTGGAATCAATTCAGTGGCAGTGAGTTCGGTTTTTGTGGTTACGAGGAATAGTACTATAAGGTTGAAGAGAGCAGGCTCTGGAGTCAGATTATCAAAAACCAAACCAATCTACTTGCCATCGAGTTGATTCTGACTCATGGTGACCCAATGTGTGCCAAGTAGAACTGTTTCATAGGGTTTTCATGGCTGTGACCTTTCAGAAGCAGAGCACCAAGCTGTTCTTCCAAGGTGCCTCTGTGTGGGTTTGAACTTCCAAACTTTAGGTTAGTAGCCGAGTGTTTGACCTTTTGCGTTACCCAGGGAGCCATTGTCAGATTCTACCCACTACCATTGAGTCGATTCTGACTCATATCCTGGGTTCCTATTTTACTGGCTATGTAATCTTATACAAGTTATTCAATTTTTCTAACTCTCACTTGCTTCATCTGTAAGATGGGTTAATAAGGTACTGGGTACAGGTACTCAGTAATTGTTAGCTCATAGTAGTAATAAATAAGTAGTGGCAATTCTCTTAATTTCAGACTTCTGTTTTATCAATGTGATCTCTCCAGTATAGAGAGCCCAGGTAGAGTTGTAAAGATGGGTGCCATAATGGAAGCTGTATATTAGCTAGAGATTTCAGGTCTTACAACTTATTTTATCAATTTCAAACAGAAATGGTTGTAGTCAGGGTAGGAAATGGACATGTGAGTTAAGCTACTGTTGTTTGAAAATGAAAGAGAGCAGTTGTTACTGCTAAGATAGGTATGTGTCATACTAATTTTAACAGAATTTTCTCACAAGTATAAAATAGCCATAAATTGAATTCCTAGGAGTCAGTTGAATAAAACAATGTCTACCTATTCAGTAGGAAATACAGAAAAGTGTTAACCAATAAATGTCTTTGATTTAATTCCTTGGAAGTATCAATTATTCATTTGTTGGAACTAATAATCAGTTAAGGTGTGGAAAACTGAGACAAAGTAATGTTAGAGTAACTTGTTCAAGTTCTGGACAGTTATAAATATTTAAATTACCAAGAGTTGGGAAAATTTAAATGAGAAGAGATGGTTGCACATTTACTCATTTCAGTAGTCAATTTCTGTGTCTCTTGCTTATGAGATTTTCTTAGCCATTTAAAACCAAACCAAACCTATTGCCATCAAGTTGATTCCAACTCATGACGGCCCCAAGTGTTACAGAGTAGAATTGCTGCATAGGGTTTCCTTGGCTGTGATCTTATGTAAGTAGATCTTCAGGCCTTATATCTGTGGTGCAGCTGGGTGGGTTCAAACCAAATTGTTTGCACCTACCTCCTTGTTGTTGTTGTTGTTGTTGTTGTTATGTGCCCTTGAGTTGGACCCGACTCATAGCGACCCCTCCTTGGGTTTCTGAGGCGGGATCACTACGGAAGTAGATTGCCCAACTTTCCTTCCGAGGAGTGACTGGTGGGTTTGAACTGGCAGCCTTCTGGTTAGCAGTCAAGTGTTTTAGGCATTACACTACCAGAGCTCCTCCTACCTCCATAGGTAGAGCTAATTGCTTATTCCTTTGTGTTCTCTGATCCTTTTATATATATATTCCTATAGTAACATTTCTCAAATGACATTGATTTTTTTTTTTTTTTTTACATACTTTTCTTCTTAAAGGCAGGGACCATGTTTTATTAATGTTTATATCTTCCCATGTAGTATAATTTCTAGCATATAGTTGACATTCCATAAATGTTTGTTAGATAAATTAATAGATGAATAAATAAATGCAGTTGCAAATTAAGTGTTTAAAATTAAATTATACATTTAGAGAGTTCCCTATTTAAAGGCAGGCTTTTGATAATATACATAGTCATTATGTAATCTTACTTACAGGAATGTTGTAGTTTCTTTTAATTTTTCTTAAATCTTATCATTCCATGGATTTCCATCCATTAGAATTGCAGATTTGAATGATATGTGAAGAACAGGAAAATATTCTTTTTTTGTATTACTTCCATTTGAAATAGAATACTTTTTAAAACTTCCAGATGTTACCATGTTATTATTAAAGAACATAAACAATTAAAAGGAACATGATGTTAAAATAAACCTGAATAATTATTAATATAATAAGCAATCCCTTACTGTGTTTTCACTTAGCATTTCTGGGCACTGAGGAAGATTTCAGAGCACGAACTCTTTCCTGTCTGGGTGTCCCAGTACCTTTTGAGACTGGAGAGGTAAAGTAATCTGATCACTTCTAAAAAAGTCACATAACGTACAGTGAAACCTGTGAGAGCAAGAACTCCATGGGACTGCCTTGTTTTTCCAGGTCTTGCAAGTTTTTCCACCTTTGACAGGGTGCAGCCTTACCACTTTTCTATCTCTCGTTTCATTGGAAAGTGCTTAAGGTTTCTTTTTCTGAGAGTTTCTGCTTTATGCAGGTTTTGGCTTTCGCAGGTTTTAGTGTATTATTTTAGCATTTTCAGTGTATCAGTTTCCTCTCTTTCTTTCTACTTTTCAGCATTTCCTTTTTACCCTTAGGTAACTGTGCACTGGTTGAGGCATCTCTAGTAACAACTCACTCATGCACCTCACTCCTCTAATCCCCTTAGCTCTCTGATACCATGTCCCTCAGGTTTCCCAAGGCCAAGCACTGAAGCTCTGGAAGAGAGTTGCCTCAGGCATTCATCCAACATCTGTTTATTTTCATATCTTATACAGTTGTAATAAGTTATGTTGTTTCATAACTCATAATGAATTAGAAGCAGCAGACATGAAAGAGTAAAGAAGTTGTAGATAGTGGCAATGGAGAAAGAAGAAAGAGGAGCAAATACCCCTTCATTGTTCAGTAGCCACTGAGGGCTAGTTAAGATGGTGACCCTGAGTAGTCCAGAAAAGTTGTATTATTTTCAGAAAACTATGTTTAAGGTAAGGAAGTATGTCATACCTTTCAGATTTTAGAAAGATTTTTTTTTTCAATTAGTAAAAATAGAAGAAAGTTTAATACTGTCTAAGATAACTAAACAAGATGGTATTTTATATATTGTTTAATAAAACTCAGTATTTTCTATTTTCCATTTATCCACTGCCTCCATCTGATTTTTGAATATTTGCCTTGTGAAATAATTTCCTCCCTTTTGAATAAAAATTGTGTAATTTAGGGAGATAGTAGTTAATTGTTTTTTGTTTTATTCATTTTTAGTAACACAAATGACTCAGATTCTAAAAGAAGAAAAAGAATGGCAAGTAAGTAATCCTTTTGATTTGCTCAGTTTTAAGGATTATCAAATAAAAGTGACATTTTTTTTTTTTTGCAAACCTGAAAGCAATTGCTTAAGGGAACTGAGTTTTTTTCTTTTTGGAGTGGAATAAATCTAGATAAGTCTATTTTAGTTGAGCTGAAGTTTCAAGTACTTTGATACAGATACGGACTTTGCAGCAGATGATTTTCAATTTATAGTGTATGATAGCTCTGCTTTCATAACTTTGTATACTAATGTTAAAATGAAACAGAGCTGAAAGCTGGTAGAGAAACTGGATGGTGGGTTTGTGGTATGGTGAAAGAACATGAGTTTTGGAATCTGTCAGATGAATCTCTTCTCTGCCACTTTTAGCTGAGTGACTTTGGAAAAGATATTTAAGTCTCTACATCCCAGGGCCCTTAACCAAACCAAAACCAAATGCACTGCCGTAGAGTCGGATCCGACTCATAGCGACCCCTCCTTTGGTTTCCAAGGCAATATCACTACGGAAGTAGATTGCCCAGCCTTCCTTCTGAGGAATGGCTGGGGGGTTTGAACCGCCAGCCTTCTGGTTAGCAGTCAAATGCGTTAGGCACTACTGTCAAGGCCCTTAGCTATTCTAAAATGGGGATATTTTCTAGGTATGTTCTAACGATAGGAACCTTGATGGCACAGTGGTAAAAGCACTTCACTGCTAACCAAAAACAAAGTCAACAGTTTGAATCTACAAGCTACCACACAAGAGAGTGATGTGGCAGTCTGTTTCTGTAAAGATTTATAGCCTCGGGGCAGTTCTATTCTATCATATAAGGTCACTGTTAGTCAAAAATCGACTCGATTAGCAATAATACATGTAAAGTAACTTGCTATAGTGCCTGCACCATAATACACATCCAGTAAGTAGTAGTTTTAAGAATAATTCACACTGATGTATTGATTTTCATTTTACCAAATGCTTTCAAACTTGGGCTAGAAAAGAAAAAATGGAATTTGGTTCATTTTGCAATGTAAATTCTAGCAAGATCAAAGAAAAGGTGGTTGGATACTTTGTTGTTGTTGTTGTTGAGTGCCATCGAGTCGTTTCCGACTCATAGCGACCCCATGCACAGCAGAACGAAACACTGCCTGATCCCGCGCCAGCCCCACAATCCATGCTATACTCGAGCCCATCATCGCAGCCACTGTATCAATCCATCTCCCTGAAGGCCTCCCCCTCTTTCGTCGACCCTCCACCCTACCAAGCAT